GATGATGTCGTGGTGGTGGTGGTGGTGGTGGTGGTGGTGGTGGTGGTGGTGGTGGTGGTGCTGGTGGTGCTGGTGGTGCTGGTGGTGCTGGTGGTGGTGGCGGGTGTGGCGGTGGTGGCGGTGGTGGCGGTGGTGGCGGTGGTGGTGTCGCGACGGCGGCGACGGCGGTAGTTATGTTAAAACTAGAAATACTACCGCTAAGATGATCATAATAAAGGTCATAATCAAACACAATCCTCAACAACATCACGACAACAACAATGAACACTTAGAGACTTAGAGGATCCCCAATAGATCGAAGCCCTCCTACAAAAATGCAGCCTTCTTTGAACAAACCCCTGGACCCTGACCCCTAAATCCCCTACAAACCGTTTCAACATCTCGAAGTAACCCTTTTCGACCCCTTTAAACCGTATGAAGACCCTTTTGTTTAACCCTGTGCCCTAAACCCTAAACCTAAACCCTAAACCCTAAACCGTACTGTGCCCCGAGCCTGGCCAGTTGTCCCAAGCAAGGGTGAGACCGAGCAGCTTGTCCTGAAAACCTGCCAGGAGGGTCGTCACCTTGTGTGGAGGGCAAAAAGTAAAACTAAACCCTAAGCCCTAATGTAGGGGCCTAAGTAATTACCTAAACTATTTTTTGCGAGTTCCTTATTATACATTATGGTATACTATACCGCAAGACCCTCTTCTGATGATTAAGGCCCCTACATGAAACCCTAAATCTGACTTCTAGGGCTTCTTGAGGGCTCTCAGAGGGACCTGGGGTTGAGGCTTGTAGGGTTTCAGTGGCCCGAGAGACGGGATGGGATGGAGGATCCCCGTCACAAGGACTCTGATTTTGGGGTTTAGGGTTTAGGGTTGAGGGGTTTAGGGGTTCAGGGGTTTGGGAGTTTATGCAATTAGGGGTTTAGGGGTTTTGGGGTTTAGGGGTTTCGGGGTTCAGGGTTTAGGGGTTTAGGGGTTTAGGGGTTTTGGGGTTTAGGGGTTTGGGGGTTTGCAACTAGGGGATTAGGGTTTAGGGGTTTTGGGGTTTAGGGTTGAGGGGTTTAGGGGTTTTGGGGGTTTAGGGTTTAGGGCTTGGGGTTTAGGGTTTAGGGGATTCTACCACCTTCCTTCATCTCACACTTGGATATCTTTGATGGTTGGTCCTGCAAGAGTTGTTGGGGTTTAAGGTTTCGGGGTTTTAGGGCCTGAGGCTGTAGGACTGTAGCCTAACTTGAGGGGGTTAGCGGCTTATGCTTTTTTGGCTGCTTCGGGCTTTGGGGTCAGAGTGTCGGGGTTTCAGGCTTAGGGCTTTAAGCTCTACTGTGGCTGGGCTCCCTTATAAGGGTGCCGTAGGATCTTGGGGACGTGGCAAGGGACCCTAGTTTGGAGAACTACCCATAGGAAGGCGGCCTAGTCACATTCCCAATACTTCGCCAAGATCCTTCGAGGTTGCATTGCAACACTTTGACGGCAGGGAATACTCGAAGCCAAAACAGAGGGTTTCCTGAAGTGTCGTAGGATGCCTTGTAACAGAGGTAACCGTTACGTCGCTCCTTCTTGAAAGTAGACTACACTGTACTACACTGTATAAAAGGAGAGCATGCTCAAGCACAGCCTAGTTTCTGAAAGCCCCAGCACCCCCCAGAGCCAAATATTCCACGCCAGCTGCTGCAACCGTGGACAAGCTTTCCGACTCGGGCCAGTCAAAGCGTTTTGAACGCAGCTCCAATGCTGCAAGCTGACCATGCGCCCGGGACGTCGGAGCACATGCGACGAACTGGCAGGCGCAAGCTTGTTTAAGCTGACATCGTCGTATGCCGGGATAAAGGCGGGTGGGGCCGACGATGCCAAGGATAGCGGCCATGAGCTCCTTCGTTCCCCACCCCTTCAATAGCAAGGGCACCCTTGTTCCTATGACTACACCGCTTTAGTGTAACATGGAGACCCCATGGGAGAAACCTTGAAACCCTATACAGCCCTGATCGAAGCGTGAAAATAGATGGGGAAAAGATGCTAATGTGGGGGCCTTAACAATTAGAATAGGGCTTTGGGGGCCTTTTTATAATCAGGAACCCCAAATACTGTTTGATTTTTTAAGCTTCTATACTATACCCTAAACCCTAAACCCTAAACCCTTCTCCCTAAGCCCTAGTAGTCAGAAACCAGGCGTCTTCTTCACGTCTCGACAAGGGCAGCGAGGCAAACTCGAGCTTCCCAAGCCAGTAAGTGCCCGTGACGGCAGCATGAAGCTCATGGCCACCATACCTGAGTCAGGGTTGAGGGTTTTACGGTTTAATGTTTACGGAGTAGCGTAGGGTTTCGGGTTTAGGGTTTAAGGTTTAGGGTGTAGTGTCGGGTTTAGGGTTTGGGGTTAAGGGTCTGGGGTGTCCTGAATGCCTTTTACATAGGAAGGAAATACAAGTTTCCTTTATCCTGGTCTCCCAAAGAAACCTCAATGCAAAAGGCAAAGTGGACCCTTACCATTAACCCACTCCACCGCTTTGAGGACTTGCATAAGGACATGATCATGAGCACCTTAACTGGTCAGGCAAACGGTTTACAGTAACCCACCCTGGACCCTAAACCCTAAACCCTAAACCCTAAACCCTAAACCCTAAACCCTAAACCGAAACCAAGATACAGGCTCATGATTTCCTCCTTTCGGCGGCCATGACCCACAACGGCTGCCAGCTGCTGCAAGCGCTTCTTCCATGTGACTTTCGGCCCGGCCTTATCGTCGTGATCTGGCCTCAAGGACTGAGGGCTTACGGTTTAGGGTTTAGGGTTTAGGGTTTAGGGTTTAGGGTTTTGGGTTTAGGGCTTACGGGGTTTATAGGGTGTGGGGCTTTGGGCTTACAGGGTTTACAGGATTTATAGTGTACAGGGTTTAAGGCTTAGGCCTAAGACTTAGGATTTATAAGCTTTCCATGTCTGGGGCGCTCTAATGTATGCTTTGGGGATTAAGGCTTTGATGCAATCTTTAAGGGTTTAGGATTCCGGCCTGTCTGACATGAATTGGCTCCAAGACGACAGCATGTAGTGCATCAGCTCCGAGTAGCCAGTGTCGGCTAGTTCATCAGGAAGTGACGGGCGAATGGTGGACTGCTTCTTCAAGCGAACCAACTCATCATCCCTATAGACAGTCCTTTCCCCACGTAGAGCCACTCTAACCTCACGCTCTTCGTACTCAGGTGGTGGTTGGCAGTCTGCCTGTATGGAAACGGTCACGAGAGCCCGTGCTGCCAACACCACAGTGCCGAGAATAGAGTTTGGTGTGGTCCGGGTGCAACTCGACATGGGGGTTTCCGAAAATAGGGGACCCTAATATAGTACCCTAAATAGTAGGATCCTTATTATAAGGACCCCAAAATAAGGTACCCCTTATTTTCGGAAACTCCCACATAGCAGGAAGCAGTTCGCTGAGGTTTGAGACCACCGGAGCCCTAAGCCACGAGCACAACTCACGTCGCGGCAGGAAAAATGATATGGACCCTGAAATCGTGCCCAATCAGAATTCCCTCTTAAGCTGTCCACTTCAACAGGTGATGGCGAACAGAAAAGCGACTGAATTTAACAGAACAGCCCATTCAACATCCTGGACTCCGATATTGTGAGGATGTATTCCATTTCACTGGTTCCTTGCGTTTTCGATTCATGCCAGAGACATTGCCAGTATCAGGGCTGAAATGTTATTCTTCTTCGTCCCCTGACCTCCTTCTCTTGTGCAAGACATAAACGCTAAAGCCACAACTTGGGCCGCAACTAGACCCTGAACCGCTTAACAACTGGAATGGGGCCTCAATAATCGGAATGGGGTAACGGGGACTTGATAATTGGAATGCGGTAACGACGATTTGATAATTGGAATCGGGTTTTTCCGGTAGACTAGAGTCTGTTACATAGGACGATAACGGAACATTGCTACTAATATTGTCACTAGACATCGACAGACCTGGCTGGGGCTGCATGTGGCCGACGCCTTACATACCCTGCCTAGACTCCATCAGCTACCCCTGCTATTGAGAAACTCTTTTGCACATGAGGAGTTCAACAGTTCACAAAAAACCCTAAACCCTAAACCCTAAACCCTAAACCCTAAGGACCTCAATCAGCATACATTCTAGGTCCCAGCTGGCTTAAAGTCCGAACTCCAGGGATCCTCACCATATTTCACAGTCTGCTCCTCTCGCTGAGCAGCTGGGTTATCTTTATCAAATTACTAATTACTACTATTATTTCGACTTTCATTGCTAGTTTGAACCACTTTCTGATAAGTGCGATGGTTATTAATTAGTGTTGTGATTGTTGCCTTCAGCCAGAAGCCCTAATTAAACGTAGCAAGGCTATCCAATTCGCCGCAGGCGCATATTGTTGTTCGGACGTTCGTCTCGAAGGATTGTGGGTTTAGGGTTTAGGGTGGTTTACTGGCTTGAAAGATTTGTGTTCGAGAGCGTTGATAAAGGTCGTGCTTGTGCTAAATGAAGGTTCATTCATGGATTAGCCGTCGTTTGGCGCCTTTCTTCTCTTTGAAATCGCATCGCTGCGCAGCCACCCCTGCGATGTTGCCCGTGCTTCCGGCTCTGGCATTCACCCCTTGTGCGCTTCTGGCATTCGCCTTCACATCCGCAGCATCGAAGATGTTCTCGCATCCCCTGACTGGGCCACATTCGTCATCGCAGCAGCCAAATTCCGATCAGAACTTCGGCTTTAATTTTAGGCACTCGATTCGACCGACAATCTCGGCGCATAGTTCTGACCCGATGGTTGGGACTCCCACACAGCGCATGGAATTGAGAACTTCCCGTGGTATGGCCACGCCAGCCATCTGAGACGAGGGCTCCAAAGGCGCTCGCGGGAGGCACAGCCAGTGTCAGGTCCCTGCTCCATGTGAGGCGATCGCCGAAGCTTTGAAGACGAACAGGACACTCACCCATATCGGATGTGGATGAGTGCCTTTTCCTCTTCAACCCCTGCGAACGCCTCACACGAGAGGCCGAGAAATCGGAGATTGCCATGTGCAAGAGCAGCAAGGGTTCTGCTTGCCTTGAAACAGAATATGCCATCTAATTTCTCGGGTCTGGGGCTTCAGGGTGTAACTAAACCCTAAACCCTAAACCCCTAAACCCTAAACCCCAAGACCCTAAACCCTTAGTAGAGTGTAGGGATAACCCACTGAGGGTCCTGGGCTGAGGGTTTCTGGGCTCTGTCGGTTTTGGGTTTGGTGCTCGAGGGCTGATCCGAGTTGTGGGGCCTAGCGTCTTAGGGTTTAGGGTCTTTTTTCGGGGGTTTGGGTTTAGGGTTTAGGTTTAGTTTAGGGTCTTTTTTTGGGGGGTTAGGGTCTTAGGCTAGAGGGTCTTGGGGTTTAGGGTCTTTTTTTGGGGGTTTAGGTTCAGGGTTTAGGGGTTTAGGGTCTAGGGTGGGGTTTAGGGTCTTTTTGGGGGTTTGGTTTTAGGGGTTAGGGTTCGGGTTTAGGGGTTTTGGGTCGAGGGTTGGCTTTGGACTCTGTAACTTGAACTGCGGCAGTGCCGATCATTGATTCAGCTGAGACGCTCTCAAATGCCGGAAGGGGAGTTTCAGAAAAAAGAAGACTAATACAAACCCTGCATCATGGGGCCGGTGTTTTGCAAGTACCACTTTTGCTTCTCTCACACAGCCTAACGCATGCAACAGACAAGAGCTACATTGTAGACTAGAGGTTTATGATGTTGGGCGCTGGGCTTGAGGTGGCAGGATTTTTGGATTTAATTGGCATGGGTCTTCTGTCGCCCATCAGCAACAGCAACAAGTAAACTACAGGAACTTAGCTTCGGGTGGTCGCTCCACGTTTATGTTGGGCCACCTCGCAGATCCTAAAAAGCTCATCTTTTGCAAAGCCTGCCATCCATAGGACTGGTGATTCCGCCTTGGACGGCTGCCTGTCATCTCGGCAGATGCCCTCACCCAGACTAAATGACAGCGCAGGCCTCAAATAATAGGTTCTGGTGCATACTACAGTACATGCACATATATATATATATATATATGGACTGTCAGGGTATGTTGAATCTTATTGCATTATCAGTATGATCGTCTTCTACTTCTTATGCCGAGCTCTGTAGTCCGCGAAGACTAAGCTTCAGGCTCACAGGTGAAACGGGCCTGGCCCTGTCAAAGAAAGCCACCAAGGTTGCAGCTGCGAAAATCTGCTCCAGGTGCTGAAAGTTCAGGGTTCAGAGTTGAGGGGTTTAGGGCTTCGGGGGTTAAGGGTTTCGGGAAGTTAACTAAGGGGTGTAGGGTTTAACATCCAGGTGTTTTGCAAACATCACCAATCCAAGACATGGTCCCTAAACCCTTAAGAACACAAACTACAAACTTTGACATCGGCCATTTGACAAGCCCTCAGTTCCTCTCAGAGCACCATCACGACCACCAATCCCAACCTACAACCTAAGCCCTGAACACTAAACGTTAAACCCTAAACCCTGGACCCCAAACCAAAACACTCCTAAACCCTGGACCATAAGGGAAGTTTCAAAGCTTCCAAATTGCCCTAAATATTGAGGCCCCTATACCCTAGACCCTTATAGTAGAACCCCAAACCTCGTGGTTCAGCCTGGGCCTTTTCAATGCCATGCACTGTGACATACAACTTAGGGTTTGGACTCTACCCAGAGGCCATACCGTCTCCCTTTTTTATTTTTGAATACCTAAACCCTAAACCCTAAACCCTAAACCTTAAACCTAGTATTTGCTGCAGAGAAAATTAGGTACCCAACCCAAATACGAGCAGGCTGCGACCCTCAAAGTAGGGTTTCGGGCTTAGAGTTTAGGGTTTAGGGGTTTAGGGTTTAGGGTTAAGGGTTTAGAAACTGATGAAACCCCTGAAACTAAACCTGGAAGCTGGGAAGCCATGACAAACCAAAACTCCACCTTAACCCGACTCCGAAAGACCTACTTTGAAATAAGGAAGCACACCGAGAAACCATGACCCTGCTAAGGTGCAGGTAAATCCCCCTTGTCTTTGGCAGCCTCCATATTCGGATCCTTTCTAGTCACCCCTTTGGGGGAGTTAAACCCTAAACCCTAAACCCTGAAACCTAAACCCTAAACCCTAAGCCCTGAACCCTAATTAAGCTTTAAGGTGGGTCTTTTCTTACCACTGGTCTCCATTACACTAGCTTTGTCAAGAAGCTCCAAGGCACCTTCTTGTTCAAGCCCCCTAGTTAGTATAGGGGCCTTAAGAATTAGAATAAGGTTTAGGGTTTAGGGATTAGGGTTCTTGTTAAAGCCCCCTAGTTAAAATAGGGGCCTTAAGAATTAGAATAAGGTTTAGGGTTCAGGGTTTAGGGTTCTTGTTAAAGCCCCCTAGTTAAAATAGGGGCCTTAAGAATTAGAATAAGGTTTCGGGGGGCCATTATAGTATAGTCATACTAAGGATCTCTAAGCATGAGATTGGTAATTATTTAGGCTTCTACATTATATCGAGCCAAAACTCCGGGGTTTAGGGTTGGGGTTTAGCTCTGCTTGTTAAGGCTCCGGTATATGGACCCAACGCCCTATTATAATCATACCACTTATTGAGGCCCCGGTATATGGACCGAACGCCCTATTCTAATTATTCCGCTGATTTATAAGGCCCCGGTATATGGACCGAACCCTAAACCGTAAACCCTAAAACCTAGAGGCTCATAGATTGACTCCTCATTGCCTTGCAACTTCGGTGCTTGTTGCGACGACTAGCCAGGCTCAGAGCGAACGATGGCTGCTCCTCGGGTTTGAAGTTGCGGGCATACCCTGAACGACCAAAACCCATTTTTGGCAGGGTCCATCCATGTACATGTGCATGTGTATATATATATATACACACATGCATTCAACATATTTGTTACTAGTAGGAGATATAATACGAACCTACCCGAAATGTAGGTCCTGGTAGTTTAAGGTGAGCTCTTGGGTTCAGGCTTGAGGGTCTGTAAGAGGAAGGGTTTAGGGTTTAGTGGGTGGGCTTTAGGGTTTAGGGATAGCTCTGGATCTATAAAATATAGGGCTGTATGCGGCCTCAATTGCTTGACGAGTCGGCCTGACTAACTGGAGTAGGCTGGGCTTCGGGGGAAGGGGCTCCTCGTGGGATATCAAACATAAAAGTTAGCCAAGTAAGCCTCTATTCAAAATCTCTGCCAAAAAAAAGCTTCTATTCGGGCCGAAAGGGATGGTTAAAAGGGTGCCCCAAAGCATAGAACCGGTTCGGGGCGCTCAAGGTGACCAGACGGGCAATCTACTTGAAGGCCTTATGCGAGGTAAAGGCTCGGAGCGGAGGATGACTTAAGTCTAAGCAGGGGTTTAGGATTTAGGGTTTAG